TGTTGGGTTTATTGATGGTGTGATTCACTTTCTGTAAAATGTACTCCATTAAAGTATACAGTTGGTTTTGCACAGATATTCACAATGGTGTAACTCTAATCTCTTTCCCAATATTGAATAGTTTGTGCTCCCTTGTGGTCTTACCTCCTCACCACATATAACTTCTGACAAGTTCTGGGTTCAGTCTTGTTCACTTTTTTTGTAGTGTCTTTTTTTTTTTTTTTTCCTTTTCTGAAGCAGAGTTTCTCAGTATAGCCCAGCTGTCCTGGAACTAGCTGTGTAGAATCAGGATGGCCTTGAACTCAGAGATCTGCCTGCCTCTGCCTCCCAAGTGCTGGGATTAAAGGTGTGTGCCACCCTGTCCAGCTCCGAAGAGTCTTACAAATCAAATCAGCTATTTTGTAGTTGTATTGTGTCTGCTTTATTTCTCTAAGCATGCAGCTGCTGAGATTTGTCTGTGTTGTTTTGTGTGCCAGTGATTTATTCATTTTTGTTGTTCAGTAATACTCCATTTTCACTTATTCTCTTGTTAATAGACATTTGGTTGTTTTCAACTGGCTTTTCTGCATAAGGCTTCTGTAAACATTTACATATAGTGTGGATTTTCGATGTCGTTTCTTTTGAGTAAATACCAAAGTGGCTCTTGCATCTTATATTGTTGAAGTTGATATATTGAGTTTGATTACTTCACACATTTGCTAGTGCTTTTAAGTTTAGTGTGTGCATAGTGATATCTCATTGTGTTTTTAATTTGCATTTCCCTATAAGTAATGAAGTAAGCATTTTTGCATATTTAGGAAGGCTATGTTTTAACAGACTTTTGTATTCTGTAGATTCTAAAAACTTTAAAATGCTAAAGGCATTTGAAGTAAAAATTGATAAACAAATTAGCGAAAGGTTAGAACAGTTGCTTTGTCCAGATCTGTCTTGCACAAATCAGGGTTGGGTTGTGGAAATTACCAGATTGATAAGTGGGACTAATGATGAGAACCTGAGAGATTGCTCTAGAGACTTGAGCATGAAGCTTGGCAGGAAGCCAATGCCATGACCCCAGTGGTCTTGGGAGGTCTACTTGGTTCTTAGCTAAACCCGACATTCATGCAAAGTAGACTTAGATTCACTTACGTATCCCAGGGTGCCTGAGGCACCAAGGGGTGCTCTGCAGTCCTTTGTGACTGTCTTGACTGTGCGATGGAAGCAACTGAACATAGGGCTCCCTCTCTGGGGACAGTTTGCCTGAATCAGTTAATCAAGCTTGAGAAATCAATTACCACAGTCCCAAGAATGCCACCACCCTTAAATTCTGAGACCCTGCTTCTCATGTCCATCTTTTGAAAAATGAGTTGAGGTCGTATCCCCTGAGTGCTCCCAACAAACCAGTATTGATTTATTTGTACCCTGGAGATAGCAGAGATGAAGGACCAGGAATACCCCTGTCCTGACTCAGAAGGGGACAGACCCTGCAAAGGAAAGCATTGAAGAAAATCTTCTCATTCAGGCGTGGGTAGAGAGAAGCAATCAGGAAGGATTCCTGAGCTAGCAGCAACTCAGTGGAGGCCCGGAATTGTGCGTAAATAAGGTAAGCTCACAGTGCTGGAGAAAGTGTTCTGGACAGAGGAACATGACAGTGACATCCTAGGCACAGGAGAGACTGCCTTCGTTTCTAGCCTGGGAGTCCTCCAGGGCATTGTCAAGCAGGCGAGGGGAGGTTAAGTAAACCTTGATGAGGCCTCCATCCAGGGTGATGGGTAGGCAAGCACCATATTAAATATTTGGTTTAGTCAAATCCTTCAGGGGCTCTGTGTCAAAGGGAGGAAAATGGGGTGAGCATGAAGCTAAGGAGGCCAGTGGAGTTGCTACTGTAGACATGCACAATCAAGACGAGAGTGGCCTAATGAATGGTAAAGATTGCAACGTGAGATCCTTTCCAGTCAATGCCTGGAAATTTGTGTAGGGGCAGGAGTGAGTGTCCTATGCTTTGAAACATTGAGAAATCCATGTTCTATGATTTCCTTTTTTTTTTTTTTTTTTTTTTTTTGTAGTGTTTGTGATTTGTTCAATTCCTTGGAAAATTGATTTGGAAATGTCCCATTGCTTTTGAGAATTGATCGCTGTGTTCTGAGATCATCAAGGTGTGGGTAAGAATTGTGCAGGTGTCCAGGAGGTGCTGAGGTAGGCAGGAAGGACTGGCCTGGAATGTCACCTGTTTGCATATTGCACAGCCTGAGAAGAACTTTTCTTCTAGCCTCATGACATCCTTGCTGTGTCCCTGGGGAGCCTGGAGTCCAAAACTGGTTTCAGAGACTCGGAAACTCAACTTCTAGGAAAATGTTCTCCAAGAAAACTGTTTTTCTTTTCTGGTATCAAGGGAACTCTGTAGGGCTGTGTTCTCTTCTCTCATCTCATAAGCTTGGTAAAGGGCTGTGTTTTCTTCTCTTGTCGCATGAGTGTCGTGTAAGGCTGTTTTCTCTTCTCTTTCTCTGAACATCTCTGCTCAAGAGTCAGGAAACAATTCCAGACATGGATTTGGCCCCATAGACCAATGCTAAGCTTGTCTTTCCTACTTTACCCCTACCTTTCCAGAAACTAGAAATTACGGAATATCCTCTTTGGATAAGATACAGTCATTTCTCTGCTGGAGAGTGCCAGGAAAACCGACAGTGAGGGTGTCTTAATTTGGGTTTTCATTGCTATGAAGAGACACCATGATCATGGAAACTCTTATAAAGAAAACATTTAATTGAAGGGGCTTGCTTAAAGTTTCAGAGTTTCAGTCCATTATCATTGTGACAGGAAGCATGGCGGAGTACAAGCAGACATGGTGCTGGTTACATCTTGACTTGCAGGCAACAGGAAGTTGACTGAATACTGGGAGGGGTCTTGAGCATAGGAAACCTCAAAGCCTGCCCCCACAGTGACACACTTCCTCCAATAAGGCCATACCCATTCCAACAAAGCCACACATCCTATTAGTATCACTCTCTGTGAGCTTATGGGGGCCAATTCCATTCAAACTGCTACAGAAGGTGAGTCCTACAGATGGGAACCTGGGTTTCTTTGGCATTTGTATTACACCTTGTACGGCATTCTGAGCTTAATTCTCCTATAATACTCAGAATACCATAGACGGTAGATGCCAGCATCCCCTTATTAGAATGAGGAACTTGGTGATCAGAGAGCATAAATCTTGTCCTGTGAATACAGTGGGCATCCTAGGGGCTATACTTCTCAGGGTCTTTCTGAGGGTTAGTTTTCCTTTTGTTACAGTGTATTGGACTCCAGCTTTCCCTCCATTTTATAGTGGGCTCTGAAAAATGTTTCTGTACCCTATAAATCAGCAAATTTGATTCCTGGAAAGTGGCTTCAAGAGGAGAAAAATCCAGTTAATTCTTTACTTCAGTATTTTAAGTGCTACTTAAAAATAATTTGGTCATTGGCCTGTCAGTGCTGTGAGTCCAGTTGGCATCTTTCAACAGGGAACTGCAAGCCAGCTGGTACTGGCTAGGTCTTCCTCTTGGTCATGGCCTAAGTTGTTTTCTTTTTGCAGTGAGGAGCTTTGGGTAGTCTGTGACCTGTTTGGGTTTGCTGAGCAACAATAAAGTAGGTTTTAAGGTTTAACTATCCCAGAATTTCTAATCTATTGTATCTCTAATAAATAAATTAGAATTAACCATTATAAGGCATCCATTTTTCTGGACATTGTGATTTCTCCAACTATCTTCTTTTTTTCCTTACCTTTTTCCTAGAAATTTTAATCTGAGTCTTTGTGTATTAGGGAACAAATGGGTATCAGAGGGAACTAAAATGCTATTAGAAACTTCCTTTGCATTGATCAAGATTTGAGTGCAGTTTTTGGTTGCCTCCATGTGCGGTTCTTGTATTCTTAACACGTTATATCCGATTTCCCACCTGTTTACACTAGAAGGTCACTAGAAGCCACAGTCATTGCAGTCATTTCCTAATAATGTTTTCTGCTGATGGTTTGTGGCTACCAACTGTTGACAGGTCCCAGCTTTAATAACCTGTGTGCCCTTCTTCCTTCTGGCACATGACAATTTCCATCTATTCCGTAGTTCGCTTTAGCTGAACGATTTGGAATTTGTCCAGCATTAAATGAATACAGCTGGGTAGTGGGCAGCAAGGACACATAGACAGTTGTAGTGCCTGTTCATGAAAAGCCTTCAGGTTTTCATGGTGAAACAGTCCTCCAGAGAGACCTTTGTGATACTTGAGTAGAAGTGGCCATGTGGTCAGGTATAGGTAGAGCATGGCCCCAAGTGTGCTGCATATGTCCCCACCATGGGAGCCTGCCTCTTTCACAGATGCCATGCCGTGTTCAGGCCTTGGCAGGCTCTCTTCTCTGTGGGATATTGTTTTCTTTCCAAAGACACAGCACAAGATTTGTCCTTATCACCTGGGAGCCAGGTGTTGGTGGCATTTCTTTTGGTGCTTACTCACAGTCATCTGAGACAGTCCTCCGCTTTCCACCTGGGGAAACTGCCTTGCTAATGATGCCATTTATCACTCGAAGGACCCAACCAATGTTAGGAAATAACATCAGTCACTCAGGCTTGAGGGTCAACCTGTAAATGCTGCTGACATTTCCTGGTAGGTCACATGTCTTCATAGGGAAGGGAGGCAGGCCTCTGGGACTCCAGGATGCCATTTTTGACCTCTCTTTTGGCCAGCCATAGTTGTTCTCTCAAATCTGCTGTCACGAACGCATTTTTCATTCTTAAACAATCACATCAGTGGTGTTCATGCGATGTGGACCATTGCATTTAGCTCCCAGCCTGTGGCCAGTAAGCCTTCCGGAAGCTCTGTCTGCTAGAGATTCTGGAGGTTAGCAGTCTAGTCTAACTCGTGACCCTTGGACACGGAGCCAGGGCATGGTTTTGGGTGTTAGAGGTGTCTGGTGAGAGGGCTGGAGCTACAACTCTCCTAGGTATAGGGTTTCAAAGCCGTGACTGACATCTCTCTCTGCTGCTTTTATCTTTCAGTTAATGACCAGCCACAGCGTCGCTGCTGTGCACTCTGGCTGCTTCCTCCAGGGCTCTGGAGCCACACGCACGGGTTGCTGTGGGTTCCAGCGGAGGTAACATGGCTTGTTGGCCTCAGTTAAGGTTGCTGCTGTGGAAGAACCTGACATTCCGAAGACGACAAACAGTAAGCATGAGTTTCTCTGTGGGGTTCTTGTTTGCTTTTTCCATGGGGCTGGGCTGGGGGTTGGAGGAAGGAGGGAAGGCATGCTCCTGGTTTTCACGTGGTGGTTATTGAATGAGTCCGGCACTTGTGGAAACAGGACTGTGTGGCTGTGATGTGGTCCCATGGCTTCACATGGTGGGAAGGTGTTCAGTGAGGTAGAACTATATTAGCTTTGGTTTCTGTTAGTTCTGGGCATGAGTTCTGACCTCTATAATGACCGCTAATCACCCCATTGTCTCCGTTCACTGAAGTTCTGGGAGCCACCTGGACTCACCCCCAAACACTCTGTGGGCCCCAGTGTTTCTGTGAAGTGAGGTACTGAAGCAGTCTTAAGAGACATGCCTGGCAATCTCAGCATTAGGCTGAACTGCCTCGCTCAGCTTTGCCAGCAGCCTGGAAAATTGGAGTAACTGAGACTTGTCATTTCTGCGGCGGTGACTAAGCCACTCATTTTCCATGTGGGCCAGTATTTCTTTGAGTACTCTGGTAAGGCCACCATTACTTCACAGGTGAAGGTTGTTTTTCCATGGAGGCACGTGGAGGCTGTAAGGCAAGGTGAGCTCACCAAGGCTTACGGTCAGCCTTCCTGTGGTGCCTTTATCTCCCACCATTCTTTCAGAGTCATCTCATCTAGCCCTCTTGGCTTAGCTACGTGTCTCTTTAGCTCACCTCTAAGCCTGTTTCTTGTCTTGTACTTCTCTTGGATTCTAAGCCTGCATCCCCACTTGCCCATCTTGATGATGTTCAACTTGTCCATAACCAAAATAGTCTTCTGAAACTTAAAGAGCAATGGTGAACCTTGAAGAGAGTTTTATTCATGTTTCTTGAAGTAGAACATTCAGTATTGCTTGAAGTTCATCTTTCCTTCCTTCCTTCCTTCCTTCCTTCCTTCCTTCCTTCCTTCCTTCCTTTTTGGTTTATTGAGACAGGGTTTCTCTGTATTGCTTTGGAGCCTGTCCTGGAACTCACTTTATAGACCATACTGGCTTCGAACTCACATAGATCCACCTGCCTCTGCCTCCTGAGTGCTGGGATTAAAGGCATGCGCCACCAACGCCCGGCTTGAAGTTCTTTCTTAAGAGAACAAACATATCAAGGTGCCCTTCTGTTTACTAATGTTTTTTATTATAAAGTGACTTAATTATGTAAGTAAAAATAGATTTTAAACCCTGATGAGAGAACTGTAGTTCCCAGATAGATTTATAAATCAAATGCAGAAAAAATTGAAAAAAAAACAATAACATTGCAATTCAAGTTATCACCTTAAATGTACTAAGAAAACTGACTTTGTTTAGTTGAAAATCAAATTATGAGCTGCCACATGAAATATGGTGGTGGATGATGCAATACTGGTCATTTTGAATTTGGTCGGTCCATACTACTTTGTGCTAATGATTTAATTCTTCATTATAGTTACACCTGTGCAGCATTTGTTAATACTATTTAGCTTTCCTTTAGTTCAGTGCCATCAGTAGCCTGTTACAAATGTACTGTTGCATACACTAATGAACTTTGTCAGTTTGTGCCAGAACTTATGCTAGAGTACATAAATCCATATAGGTGTAACAGAATTTGTTCAGACTATCATTGACATGGAAACACAGGAAATTTAAAATCTTTGTAGAGAATCCAAGTATAATCCTTCAAATGCTCATGTGAGCACAAACACACACACACACACACACACACACACACACACTCACATACACACAGAACTTCCAGTTTTAGAAAAGTTTTTGTTCAACTTTTAATGTTACAAATGGGGAACTTGAATTCAAGGTCACTAGTGAGAGTACACTGACTGGAATCTATGTGTGTTTTCTTATTGTTAATAACAGCAAAGTACAATGCCTATTAATATAAATAAAAGAAAGGAAAATAGTTAGAATGTGCTTTTATGAACTAGGTATGAAGTGTGCTATTTATTTATTCATTTAGTGATTGCTGCAGATTGACTACAGACCTTGCACATGCTAGGCCAGAGCTCTACCAGTGAACCAAACAGCCAAAAGGGAGGATTATTAGTTGTATTAATCATTCTTTTTTTTTCTTTTGGTTTTTCGAGACAAGGTTTCTCTATGGTTTTGGAGGCTGTCCTGGAACTAGCTCTTGTAGACCAGGCTGGTCTCAAACTCACAGAGATTCGCCTGCTTCTGCCTCCTGAGTGCTGGGATTAAAGGCTTGTGCCAGCACTGCCCGGCTGTATTAATCATTCTTAAACCCCATGAGGCAGTGTTTCTCCTTATGGTACAGATAACAAATAAAGAGCAGTTTTCCAGAGGTCTGCACTGCTGGACTGCAGATAGTCTGATGCCAGCGTAGTATGTTAAACTATGCTTGATTAATAGCTACCATGTTATACTGCATTTGTCTATCTGTCTGTCTGTCTATCTATCTATCTATCTATCTATCTATCTATCTATCCATTCATCCAACTATTTATTTATTTTTGAGATCAGGTTTCAGGTAGCCAGGCTGACCTGGAACTCACCATGTAGCCAAGGCTGCCTTTGAGCTCCTGATCCTTTTGCCTCCCGAGTGCTGGGATTATAGATGTGCACCACTATACCCAGCCTTATATCACTTTTTAATGGTATCATTTAAAAAATTCTCTATCAAAAAATCTTGCCATTTCTGACTTCCCTCTTGCCTAGCTGCTGCGCCTTGCAGTTGATGTTCCTAAGTCTGTGATTTGCTAGTGTGCTTTGGCCCACACTCCTGCCTTTCCTCCGTGTGTCAGTGTCCTACCTGGTGGGGAATTCTCACTGTCTTGTGAGTCACAGAAAGAAACGTCACTTTAGCAGTGAAAGGTGGGTCTTGAGGGTAACCTGTTCCAAACATCAGACTCTACAGATAGAGAAACCAAGTCACAAAGTGTGGATGGAAGAGATCCTCAGGGTCCGTCAAGCAGAAGCCGATCTGGGCCCGGAGGCTGAACCCTTCTTCCTCCAGTTCTCAGGGGCTGTTCTTCTCCTTTCCTTTGCAGCTGCACAGCAGCACATAGCTCAGGGGAGGGAGAAGTGGCAGAGAGTGGGTTTCTGTGCCCAGGCAAGAAGAAGTCAGGAGCACACTGTCCAGGGACACACAATGTGGGGTGGGGTCATTTACCCCGAGCCGGTCTTTGCAGGACTTGAGATGGATGCTTCTTGCTCAGTGCTGTGTATATATTTAAAAGTATTAGGGTTAGAAAGATAGGCAGACTTAGTGTAAGGCAGTTAGTTTAGGGAAGAGTTCTTGCTGCAGTAGGAAGTACGGACACACTCCTCCACAGATGGCCCTTGTATGATACTATGCCACTGCCTACCAGCTTGTCTGAGTCATCTCCTTTCCTGATTTATAAAGTAAATCCATTTTGAGGAATCAGAAAGAAAAGCAGTTGATTTCAAGTCACAGTTACTTAATGAGCAGAGGGGTACCAAATTGTATAGTTTATGAAGCTAGGGACACAGGATCAGTCCTGAAGGTAACACTAGAACCCATCTCCTGGTGTCCCTACAGGCTGGGCCTTTTTAAAGCAGGCTTTGTTTTATCCTCAGCAATGGCTATATGTAGTTAAGGTCTAGTGCACCTTGTTATTATGTTTAGGGATGGGAACTGTGTGGGCCTTTGGTACTATCTTAACTCACAGAGTTAGATCTATCCTGCCCATTTGGGGGGGGGGCAGGTAGAAGCCCCTTGATAGCCACAGTGCTTGGATATTCATTGCACATTCCCCTGCTCCTTAGAGCATCTATACCCATGTCCCAAAGCCCAGGACAGAGCCTGGAACTTACAACATGCATAATAAGAATTTGCCTGAGGAACAGTAAATGTGTTTGCCACTCTGTTATTTGAAAGTCTTGGAACATCTAGAAGGAATAGAAAGATTATGTGAAAGCCTGGAGCTGAGCAGTGAACCCCAACGCAACCCTAACTAAAGGCAGCTTTGTCCTTGTGTCCTTGTTTGCAGATGACTATCATGGACCCCTCTCTGTCCTCTTATTGTGCAGACTCATGGGGTCCATCAACCAGAGTTAGTTTTCCAGTGTTTCTATTGGGCAAAGAATACATTGAATTGAGTTGCAAAAGGGTACAAAGCTCAGTTTGGGTTCAAAGTGCCAGTTGGCTTGTGTGGGCAACAGTTAGTCTATGCAAACAGGGACAGGAAAGGGGGTGGACTTCAGGGTATCAGGCGCTTCCTCTTGATCCAGAGGCCAAGGTCTCCACAAAACAGAGGGGACAAAGTGAGGTGACCAAAATCTGCCTTTAAGAGAAATAGCATATTCTAACTTTTAAGTAACTTAGAGTGCTACTATTGGGGCAGTCTTTAATGAAAAGGAATCAACATGAAAACAATTAGAAGTACTCCTTCCTGTGAAAGAGTGTGCAGGAACTTTGCTTCCCTTTCCTGTTTCCAGTGCCAAGGACATTTCTTCCCAGACCTTAGTTTTGGCTCAGTAACTACAGTCATAGTTCTTATCCCAGGTTGGCCGTCCTGTGCCTCAATGGCTTCTCCAGAGTTTTCTGTTCTATAGATGGCGTAAACTACAACAGGTCATTGTTCATTATTTCACTTAGATAAATGTTTGCTGAGCATCCATTACTTGTGGGATATCATGATGGATAGATATGCAGTGATAAAATAGACAGGCTCTTTATCTGCTCTCATGGAGGTTAAAGTTTATTGAGGGAAGAGGATATGAAATGTACCAGCACACAACTAAAAATATCATTACCTCTGTAAGTGTATGGAGAAAAACAATGAACTGTTGTACTCAGGTATGAGTAGGCACTTCATTTAGAATGGCTTGGCTTTCAAGCCTAGAGCCCCAGAATGGGAGCAGTGGTGTTAGCATGCAAGGATCTGGGGCTCAGACCTCAGAGGTACTTTATCCTTGGCCTAGAGACTGGGCAGGAATGTGTTTCTGGCTCAAGGAACAGAAAGAAGCCAAGGGCACTGGCTCATTGAAAGAGGACTGGCT